TCGACTCTTTGTCCACCAACTTTAGGTAAGGATGTCTGCTCATGAATAGTGCTTTTTGTACTATTACTGTAGCAAAGGACAAGTCTTCCTCTTAAGGCTTGACATGCACTCTAACCCTACCATATTATATTAAATGAACATTTAATGCACTAGGTATAAATAGAAGTGTTTCTTCTCCATGCAGAGTGCACGCAACTCACTCTGTAACCCTAATTCTTACTTCAAGCATTTTCTAACTTAAGTAAAGGATCTTCTTTACAACAATTTCTTTTCTTGTAATTTGCTAAGGTTTTGTGTGTAACCAAAGATTGTTTAGATAAGTTTTTATTACCTTATCTTTCCGCAAACAATCTTGTAAAATCTGTATTGATCTTCTCTATCAATATATATTTTAAATTTAAAAATACTGTGTTTGTATTCATCCCCCCTTCTACAAACTGTTTCTCTTTTTGTAGACCCTCACGGGACCAACAAGTTTCTAATCTGTAGAGCCTTTGTGAAACAATCTGCCAGTTGATCTTGGAACCACAAAACTCAATCCTGACTTCCTCGTTTGATACTAATTCTCTTATGAAAAGGAATTTGATCCCGATATGCTTGCTCTTACCATGGAATACATGATTCTTAGTAAGAGCAATAGCAAATCGATTGTCACATATAGGGACATGTACTCTGCTTCAGTTGAAAACAAAGCTACCACACTTTGCTTCTTTGGTTGCCAGGACACTACTCCATTTCCCAGATGGAATACATAGCCAGCAGTGCTCCTTCCATTGTCCATGCTACCACCATAGTAACTATCACTGTATCCAGTGAGTTTGAAGTTTTCTGTTCTTGAATACACGATGCCATGACCCAAAGTTCCTTTGACATATTTGAGGATCCTCTTCCCTATTTCCCAGTGGCTTCCTTTAGGTACTTCCATGTACCTACTTATGATGCTACCTGAAAAAACAATGTCTGCTCTGGTGGCAGTCAGGTACATTAGACTGCCCACCATGCTTCTATATATATTGGCATCTATGAACTCTTCCTTTTCATCATTATGTAATTTGAGTCCAAATTCCATAGGAGTAATAGAAGTAGTAGCCTGTCCCAAATTGAATTTGTCCAAAAGATTTTGAGCATACATTTGCTGAGATATTTTGATACCTTCCTCATCTTGCTTTACTTCAATTCCCAAAAGATAATGTAGAAGCCCCATATTAGTCATCTCAAAATCATTCTTCATACTTTCCTTGAAGTCTTTTATTAGCTTTTGTGAGTTGCCTGTTAATACTAAGTCATCTACATATATGCATACCATGAGAATCATACCTTCAACCTTTTGAGTGAAAAGAGTATGTTCCTATGAGCACTTGTTGAAGCCATTTGTAACAAAATAAGTTTCAATACGGCTGTACTAAGCTCTTGGTGCTTGCTTTAAGCCATAAAAGGCTTTCTTCAAGTGACAAACCTTAGACTCTTCTCCTTTTTTCACAAAACCTTCAAGTTGATCTATGAAGACATCCTCTTTCAGAAAACCATTAAGAAAGGTCGATTTCACATCCATTTGATGCACTTTCCAATTGTTTTGTGCAGCTAAGGCCAAGATAAGTCTAACAGTTTCTAACCTTATGACAAGGGTAAAACCATCCTAATAATCAATGCCATGCTTTTGTTTGTACCCCTTAACCACCAGTCTTGCCTTGTACATATCTACCTCCCCTTTCTCATTCAATTTTTTTGATAAATTCATTTAACTCCAATGGATTTATGTCTATTTGGAAGACTGACTAATTCCCTAGTATTATTCTTCATAATGGATTGTATTTCCTTATTCATGGCATCTCTCCATTTTGCATCTTGGTTGGCTTCCTTAAATGTCACGGGGTCTGCATCAGAGAATAACACAAAATCTGCAGGATCATTGAAATCCAAGCTTCTTGGATCATTGTAGATGTCCCTCAGACTCTTGTGTCCTCTTTTAGGAGGACTTTCAGTGGAGGTTTCAAGGGAATCTGAATTTTCTATGTTTTGAGGCATGTTAGGGGTATCTTGATTGTGTGAATCATGGTCAATCTGTTTTGTACCTTCATCCTATTGAAATTAATCTTCTTCTAGAATCTGTGTAGTGTTGATAACTTGGTTTGATGGATCATTCCATCCTTTCCTTTCTTCAAAGATTACATCTCTACTTATGATAGTTTTCTTAGTGATGGGATTATAAAGTTTATAGGCTTTGGACTTGTCACTATATCCTATGAATATAATTTTTTCAGACTTATCATCTAGTTTGGTCCTTTTATGTTCAGGTATGTGTACATAGGATATGCATCCAAAAGTTCTTAAATGGCCTATAGTTGGCCTATAGTTACTCCATGCTTCCTATGGTGTTATGTTGGATAATCCTTTTGTAGTAGTTTTATTTAACAAGTAACAAGCACAAGCCACAACTTTTGCCCAAAAAGAATGGCCCAAATTCTTGCCTCTTAGCATGCTTCTAGCCTTCTCAACTAAGGTTCTATTAAGCCTCTCTGCTACCCCATTCGGCTGAGGGGAGTATCTAGTTGTTAGTTGATGGTGAATGCCATTTTCCTTCAAGAAATCAATAAAGTAAGCAGAGTTGTATTCCCCACCCCCATCTGATCTAAGAGATTTCATCAGATTACCACTCTTCTTTTCAACACTTGTTTTGAAGTTTTTGAAATAGTCAAAGACTTTAGATTTTTCTTTTAGAAAATATACCCACAATTTCCTACTATAGTCATCAATAAAAGTGAGTATATACTTGTTTCCACCTATGAACATAGTTTTCATGGGTCTACATACATCTACGTGGACAAGCTTAAGAGACTTTGTGGCTCTCCATGCTCCATCTTGTTGGAATGATTCTCATGCTTGCTTTCCAACCATGAAACTTTTACTTATCTCATCATTCTTGGTTATGGCATGCATTCCCTCTACTAAGTTATGTCTTTACATGTAGTTTAGGTACCCAAGATCTACATGACCAAATCTATGGTGCCATAATAGGGAATTTTGTTTTGTAGATATGTGGAAAGAAAACAAAGTGTCTTCTTTAAAATTTTTAGGGAACATATTGTTTCCTGTCATGCTGATTTTCCCTATTAGGCCTCCATATTGATCCTTAACATTACAAGACTCACCTTTGAATTGTAGTTCATACCCCTTTTGTAGGAGTTGTCCTACACTTAGCAGGTTGTGTTTCAAGCCAGGAACATATTACACACTTGGTATTCTTTTATATCCCATTCTTGTGTTTACC